TGGTGGGGACAGGGGAAGTTGTAGCCTCTCAAAGTCCCTGACCTCAACATTCTTGCCTACCCCTTCCCCGACCTGCTGTGGCATCCTCCAGGGCCCTTGTTTAGAGAGCTCCTGGAATCTGGAACGGTCCCGGTCGTCCACCTCGCTCCCCACCCCTTCCTCTTCTTGCTTTGGCAAAGGAGACTTCCATTTCCGAGGCACAAGAGTGGGGAATGTGTCGACTCTGGCGTGGGCTCTGCCGCAGGGAGCAGAATTCTCTAGAGCTAATTGAAGCAGGGAAGGAATCACGAGAGGCGACCAGCCAGGGGTTCAAAGGACCCAGACTGGAGTTTGTGCTTTCCGGACGGACTCTCCCCCAGGCCACCCGTGAGGCGGCTGCTGCCCCGTGGGCCCTTCGGAAGTCCGGGGCTGCGGGCCCCGGGACCCCAGCAGCTGATGGACATCCTTGGAAGCCGGTGACGGGCTGAAGCCACCCCTGCTGAAGCAGGGGGGAAGGCACAGAAGCAAAAGCCTGCCCTCTGCCTCATGATCTCCTCCCACACCTCTCTGAAGCCTGCAGGGCCAAACCACCTCTGACCCTCAGCTTCAGGGTGGTCTTGGCAGGTGCCAGCAAGGTCTCCTGCAGGAGGGTGGGCCGGTCCCTCCCATCTCTCTCATGGACCACGTTGCCTATAATTCCCATGGCAACCGTGTGAAGTAGGTGCTTCAGCTCTGTTGTACGTTTTGGGGGACAGGATCTGAAATAGGAATTTCCTCCAGCTGGTGCAGCACCTCAGGGGCAGGCTGGGATGGAGCCCCACCCCGCGGCGCTCCCGAGCTTTGCTTGTTTCTCTAGGTAGCTTCGTCCAGATGTCCCCTCAGGGCAAGGGTCACAGGCCCAAGGCCAAGGTAGGGGGCACTGCAAGACCTCCCAACCTGTATGCCAGCAGAGAATGGAGGGAAAGCCAGCTTTGAGAGGCCCGGGCCTGGGACAGTCCCGAGTCTTGAACTTCTGCAAAGACATCCTAAAGCCCACCAGACCCTGTATTCTGATTCTTGCCGTTAAAATCCTGGTGACTGTTGAGCTCTCTGTTATGGATCCTTCATTTAAAGATGGGAAGAGTGAAGTCCAGAAAACAGGGGATGGGGGAGAGCCTTCTCAGGTCACCGGGAGCATGGCATGACCTGGGAGGATGGAGGTCAGATCTCAGAATATTTTGACTTGGCTGCAGAGGTGGGAAGGGGAGGAGGCAGATGGGTCCAGGGTCCAGAGGGGCCCTAGCTCGGGCTACGCACATCAGAGGGCCTGCTCTGCTCCTCTAGCCCCCAGCACAACAAGTCTGCAGGGCCTCCCCGCTTCTAGACCCTTCTCAGAATACCTGGGATCCTGACATTTTCCGCCTTGTTGGCTCTAGACCTGCTTCCAGGCTCTGTCCTTCCAAGGACGGACTGTGCCGCCCCCAGCAGGAGAGATGGCTAAGGGTAGCTGTGTGTGTGTGTGTTGGGGGGGGGATGTGGACAGAGCTTGGAGGTGTGGGTTGGGGGATTATAGGCAGCCGTACAAGATCCCTCAAATTGTGGGCTAGTGCTGAGGGAAAGAAGGGAAGGGGGTGTGCTCAAGGCCAGGAAAAGGGGGCTCCCTCTCCTGGAGCCACCACATTCGAAAGTCCAAGAATTTGAATTTCACATTTGTCATAGGTCATGGGGAAGGTATATTTGTGTCAAGACAGGAGGATGTGCTCACAGTTTTTTAAACTGATTTCTAACTGTCAAATATTTAGACTACGGGATCTGAGCTTCCCTCTGTGCTCTGGCCCAGGCCTTGCCAGCACCAGGGGCCCGCCTGGGCTCAGGGCTCATGGAGCCCACCGAGGGCGGTGTATGGTGCCGGGACGGGCCCACTGTTTGGCGGAAAAGGCTCTATGAATGGTGTCGGATGAGGAAATGGTTTTGCTTTTTTGTGTCTGGGCGGGAGCAGGTGGGCTTGCAAGTTGGTCACAGAGGAGGGAATGCCCGTGCAAGGAGGGGCAGGGTTGGAAGCAAAGATGGCCCAGCTTGGGCCCAGGACTGGGGGGCTGGATTTTGTCTCCCAGGGGAAGAGGGATGATGGAGCTGGCTCCTGAGGGAGGGAGGGGCAGGGAGAAGGGGAGATCATAAAGGCAGGTTGCATTCACCGTGTTGTCCTCATTGTGCCTTTTTCAGCTAAGTAAAAAAAAAAAAAATGAATATTTTATCTTCCCTCTTCTGCTGCTCAGCAGAATCCCGCAGCCCAAGGTTTGCCTAGTTTCTTACTCCAAGGGTCAATCCATGAGCCTTGCTCTATGTGCCATCGGGGGGCACTGGTCCTGGCTGACATCTGCAGTGGAGAAGCATAGAGGAGACACGGCCTCATCCCTTGGGAGCCGAGAGATGCCAGGGCAGGACAGTGGCCTTGGGGGCAGCACAGTGGCGAGGGCCAGGGTTGGGGTGCTGCCTGGGCGTGGCCATCCCTTAACTACCTCTAAAGTTCCCTTCACATTCTTTAGGTGAGGATTAAAGGCAAAAGGTAACCCTAGTACCTAATGGGGCCTCACGTGGCTCAGTCTCTGCGGCGAATGTCATTCCTCAAAGCCCAGTCCAACTATCAAATAGCAAGGAAAGGCGACGCTGCTCTTCCCTCACTCTCTTGAAGAACATAAGGATTGCATTTAGGATTCTAGCAATCCTTTCCAGAGGCCCCTCTTTAATCTGCTTGTTTGTCTCCTGCCCAGAAACTGCTCCCGCACCCCCTCCCTCCACTTCTCTGATGTTGTGGCTGTCGCTCTGCTCCTGCTCCCTCCCCCCCCAGTTTCCGGTCCGTGGGTTCCCCCCTTCCCAGCCCTTTCTGGCCTAAGGACCATACTGGCTTTGGAACTGAAGTCGCCGCACCAGTGTGTCGTTAACAGTTGCCAACCAACCCCTACAGTCAGTGCCAAAGCTGTCACTGTGCCAAGCCTGCTGTTGGCTGCTCTGGTGGGGGAGGGGGTGAGCGGTCCACAGCTCCTGCCCCGGAGGACCTCCCTTTAGGGACAAAGCACCTACTATGAGTTTGCACACAATGCTAACCATTTAACCCTCACAGCAGTGCCACAAGATGGGCATCATCAGGTCGTCAGATCTTTGCAGTATGCTAGTGAGATACAGAGCTATTCTTCGTGTATAGACCAGGGAACCGAAGCTCAGCAAACGCTGATTAATATAGGCAAGGCCAGACTCCCACAGCTCACACCCCTGCCTCAGGCCTGGCTGACCCCAACACCCATCAACAGATGATGACTTGTCCCAGGCCAGGCTCTGAGCCAAGGGTGGAAAGGACCACCAGGGGTGATCCTGAAAAGGGAAGGAGTATGGTGGCCCAGGCGCTGAGACTCGGAGGGCTCATTGGAACTCCAGGGCCTCAGTTTCCACCTCCGTGAAATGGAGCTAGCCACACCTACCCCAGTGAGCAGGGGAGTGCCGAGAAGCACTCCCACAGGGCTCAGCCCAGCGAGGCTGTCCAGGAATATCAAGCCGAATGCAGGAAGGTGTGAAGCAATGATGGAAGCATAGGTTTTGTCCAAAAGAAACGGGCCCCAGAGCTGGGGAGGCCGAGAAGCTGGGGGTAGGATAAAAGGAAAAGGGGAGCGCTGGGGGCGTGGAGAGATGGGATCTGACAGCTGCCTGGCGGGGGGCGCCCCCCGCCACCCAGCTCCTTCCTCTTCTTGCCTGCCTGCCTCTGGCCAGGTCGTGAAGTCCTACAGATTGCATCTTCGATGTTGCTGGAGTCAGTCCTCTCCGGTGGGGCCTGACTCCGGGCCTCCGGCTTGCTCGGGGCTCCTCAGCAGCCGGAGAAACGCATGCCTGCGCAAAACGTGTCTGCTCACTGATTCTCTACTGCATGGGCTCTCCGGGGCCCCAGGGCTTCAGACACCATCCATATATCCATGACGCTGAGCTGCAAGGTCTGGCCCAGACACCCCCGGCGGCCCCCCAGACCTCCTGCTTCGACAGAAGTGGCAGTACTCAGCCGCCCCAGTCACCACCGCTGGTGGTCTTTACTGAGTTGTCCCCTCACTCACGCGTGCGGGGCCACAGACTTTACCTGGAAAGCCCTTCTCCGAGCTGACTGTTCGTTCCCTCCCCGTGCACCATTCCCCCTGTGGGCCTCCCCCCCGGGGTGAGGGCAGCAGCCTCCAAACTGGCCTCCCTGCCTCTGTCGTGAGCCTCAGTCCCTCCCCTTGCAGCCACCGGAGGGACCGTGGTGGGCATGCATTGCATCCGGCTGTGCCCTCATCTGGTTAAAGAAGCCCACTGCCTCCTTCAGCCAGGCCGAGCAGGCTCCTCGCCCCGTCACGCTGTTCCCTCTGCTGCGGTTTCGCCACAGGATCTCCCTTTCTCCTGTCTACCTTCCTGTAAAGAACCCTCCTTTTGTTCAAGAGAGCCCCCCGCCCCCCAACAACACACGGTGCCGCCGGGCTGGATAGGGCCCTGTCCCCAGCCCGGGGGGCCAGGCTGGATTGGGCTGAGGCCACCGTGGTGGTCCTACCCCCCTTGCCAGTGATTGGTTTAGGAATGGCCATGTGACCCGGGTTCCCACCAAGGAGGGGAAACCCGATGATGAGGAAGTGAACGACGGTGTAGAGAATTCTGCTAACAACTTAGGGCAAACTCAAACTTCAGTGGGCGTCCTTCCTGCTGGGGGAACTTGGTAAAAGCGCAAAGGCCCAGGCCCCCCCTCCCCCCCCCACCCTTTCAACGAGCCCCGCCTCTGAATTCTTAGCATTCCAGGAGATTGTGAAGCCCTCCAGCATGGGGGACCCCTGACTTAGAGGAAAGGAAGCCAGCATCTGGTCTGGTGCTAAGCTGTGCCCATCTGATTTTGACACAAATCCTCAGGGCCAAGCATTGTTGTTACAGATTGTTTTGGTAAGCAGGGAGTCCCCCCATGAGGCATAACTACAACTAAGACAAGAGTGACCAATGCAATAGGAAAAGGAAGGTACCGGAAAGGTGATTCTTAGGTGGTGAAATAAAAATGGCTGAGAAACTTTCCAGAGCGGCAGAGATCACTATCTGTCCTCCAATATCCACCCTCCCTTCTTCATAGGAGCAGAATCCTTGAGTTTTGGCCGGCCATGCAGTCACCTAGAATAAAGACACTCCCTAGCTTCGCATCGAGGTGAGGCCATGTGCCCAAGTTCTAGCCAGTGAGAAGTAGCAGATTCCCGGAACCTTCCTGAAAAGACAGCTGGTAGGTGCTCTTTGTTTCCTTTTCCTTTATCCTTCCTTTCTTCTGCTGGCTGGAAGACAGGATATGATGGTCGGGGCTCTGGCAGCCATCTTGGACTGTGAGATCCTGGAACAAGAGATCACACACAGCAAAGTAACAAGAGAAAGAGGCTGGGTGATGCCACCGTGGAGTAGAGCTGCTATGTCAGCCCTGGATGGCCCACCTCGAGATTTTACTTGAGCAATACATTTCTGGCTTAGGTCTCTGGTCTTTGTACCCATGCCTAATTCTAACTGATAAAATGACTATAGAGAAATGCAAAGTCAGACCATGAACTGTCTTTTTTCATTCAGGAGATTGGCGAGAATGAAAAGATGATTTTACCACTAGAGACTGTGTGGCACTGTTGTTAATAACCCACCTGGGCTAGACTCCAGCCGTGGACTCACCAGCTATGCAAGCGTGGAGCAGATCTGTCACTTCAGTGCCTTGTGCCTTTTTGGGGTGTTTCCTTACCTGAAAAAAAAAAAGATTGGGGAAAAAAACAGCATTCATCTGTAGAGTCTTGGCGAGAAATAAATTCTGAGAACAGTACCCGGTACAGGCATGCCCGCAAGTATCTGCCTTTCCTGTTACCGCCGAGCTACCCTCCCGCTGTCGTGTGCGGGGGTAGATGGGCCATGTTCACACTCGGTCCAAGGGAGTGTACAATGTAGACAGCCGGTTCAGAGGGCTCTTGGCCATATCAAAACTTCAAAAAGTCCATACGGGACTCTTTTCAACGTGGCCCCTGGAACCTGGCAATCTGCCCTAGGAACCTGAAGACCTTGGGGCCAGATGTGTTCCAGATTTTAGCCATGTGGTGCATATGCCCCACTCTGGGGCGTTCCCTCACGGGGTCTGGGGGTGTTTCATGCTGCGGACTCCTTGCGGTCTTCAGACCCCTCTGATTTCAGCCTCCTGCCGACAGTGCCCCCCCCGCCCCGAGTGCAGCTGGGAAGTTCTGGGGCGTGAGTGCTCGTAGGGGCACCCTCGCCTGATAGGGCCCAGGTGCAGGTGGGTGAGTGCTCAGCTGCCTTCAGTCCTTTCTCAGGAGGTCCCAGAGGGGTTGACTTCCCTGCTCGTTGCCCCATGACCCTCTGCAGTGACCTCAACAATGACCCTTGTTTGGGCTTTCCCCTGTTCCTCTTCCCATTCCCTGCCTCCTGCTTCCTGGCATCATCTTCCAAATAAACCACCTGTGCCCAAGTCCTTCCTCTGGCTCTGCTTTTGGGGAGCCCAGCCCAAGACCGCCCCCTAATGAAACACCCTATTTCTTCAGCAAGCTGCATCCCTATTCACAGTAAGATAAGCAAAGACTTCAAATAGTCTATCAACTAGGGTTGGGTTTGCTGCCAAATAGATAAAGAAAAGGGGTTTGGTTTTCTGAGTGTTTGGATTTCGTAGCTGTGGGTATGGGACTAGCCTCTACTCACCTGGTACACAGAGGCACAGTCTCTCCTGCTTGGTTCAGTCGGGAATGGAGAACTTCCCGTTGCCATGGACTGCTCCCAGAAGGCCCCAAGGACACAGCAGTTCCCAAGACCTTGAGGTCCTGCCCCAAGGAACTGACCTCCAAGTGAGAAGAGACAGTCAATAAGCCTAGGTACAGAAGGTGATTTGGCCTCTGGCAACAATGGGAAAGGAGATCCCAAGGTGGGGAGACAAGGTTGCATTTAATGGGGTGTTCAGGGGAGGCCTGTTGCCAGAATGATGTCTGAGCAGGGACCTGACCGGTGAGGAGGAGCCCTGGACACGGATCCAGGGACAGGGAACAGCAGATGCAAAGGCCCTGAGGCAGAGTGGGGTTTGACTTGTTTGAGGAGAAGCAAGAAAGCCACGGCGGGGGGGGGGGCGGCGCACAAGAGCCAGCAGGAAGATGGGAGCAGGCCTGGGTTAGAGAATCTCTAGTGTCTAAGAGCAGAGGGGTGTACTGAAGGGCTTGGGGTGGGGGGAGGCGGGAGAGGGGCCCCCACGATCTGATTTGGAAGAGCCCTCTGCTTGACACTCGCGAAGTATTAGCAGCAACAGGGGGATTCAGAATGAGCTGCGTGGTGCTCGCTGCCCACGCGAACCCCCATGTCCTCTCCAACAGTATCCACGCCCTCTCGGCAGGAATGAGAACCGCCACCACCACGGGTGCTCCTGATTGGTCTGAGGGGACGGCAGCTCCTGCCAGTGATAGGTCGGGAGTGCGCACGTGACCATTCCCTGCCAAAGAAACATCAGGAAGAGTCAGCGGGGGTTCTGGGCGAGGCTTTGGGACGCAGCTGGCTTGGGGGTGACACCTTGCGAGAAGATGGGGAGCCCGCAGAAAGAGGGAAGAGGCTGCTTCTGCACCAGGAGCCCAAGGCGCTCCATGCTTCTGCCCTGCCGAACTGGGGATGGGTTGGTGGTCCATATGAGACTGAGCCAGGTTTCAGCTCCCCGCCGCGGAAACTTCCAGACGGACAGCAAGCAAAATGTCCATCGGAACGGAGGGTCCAACAAATCAGGGCCGGTTCTGTGCTACGGAATACAACAGAGCCATCGCAAAGAATGCAGGGTAACCTCGTGTCCTGAAAGGGACCCAGCCACAGGAGATGCTATTGGTTCTCAACCTGAATGATTCTGTCCCTAGGTAAGTTGCCAGGTTAAGCAAATAAGAATGCAGGGCAAGCAGTTAAATTTGAATTTCAGATAAACAATGGATACTTTTTTTAAAGTCAAAAAAAAAATCTCAGATGGTGACTATTAACTGGATGTCCTGTATTTTATCTGACAACTGTACTCCCAGGGGACTTTCGGCCATGCCTGGAGCTACTTCTGACTGTTGCTATTGGGAGGACCGACCCTGGCAGCTAGAGGCCGGGGACCCGACCCTACTGAATGCCCTCCAGTGCAGAAGACAGCCCACAACAAGGAATGATCCTACCCCAAATGTCGGTAGTGCCAAGGTTGAGAGCCTCTGTATTATATGAAAAACAACAACCCAATAGGGTATGGTAGAATCCCGTGTATGTGTGTGTGTGTGTGTGTTTTAAATCCAACCAAGCTATACAATCGCATAGAGAGAGGTTTGGAAGGTCCCACACCAAAGTCATGTGGGGGGTAAGGAATGCCTATTACTTCTCCATCTAAATACTTCTGCAGTGTTTTCTTCTTTTTAAAGTTAATACATTTGAAGTTACCATATATGTACACACGCACATGGATCAAAATGTGAGGTTTTTCACAAAGTGAACATGCTCATGACACAGCCCTCCAGGGGGAGACACGGTCTGTGAGCAGCCTTCCAGGAGGCCCCTCGTGTCTCCTTTGGGTCTCTGGCTGCCCTGCCCGGATCGCGGCTCTCTGGACTCCTAACCTTCGAACAGACCCATGCAGTATGTAGTCATCTGGGTCTGGCTTCCTACCCGCAGCAGTGTGTCTGAGAGAGTCGCTCACGTTGAGTGTGCCTTCGCTTGTTCTCACGGCTGTGAAATACACCACCATTTATCCGGCCCTTCTCCTGTTCACCGACACGTGGGTGGTTTCCAGAATGGTCCCACGAGGAATCAAGCTGGTATGAACGTCCTTCTGCAGGTCTTTGGGTGAGCATATGTGCTCACTCCTGACGGCTACTCACGGCAGCAGATATCATTCAGCCCGAGGGGGTGTGTGCATTCAGCTTTCTGACCAGAGAGCTTCCCAAGTCCTTGCAATGATTTCCATGTCCGCCAACTGTTCATGAAAGTTCTCGTTATGCTGCCTCCTTGCCAACCCTCCATACGGTCTAGCTATTTCATTGTAGTTCCTCTGGTGGGTGCACACACTGGTAATCCGTGTGATCCTGATAATGAAGCTCAGCACTTGCTCCCATCTCTGGGGACCGCGTGGATATCCCCTTCTGTGCAATGCTCGTTCAAGTCGCTTGTCCACTTTGCTCTCAGGTTGTCTCCTTTTCTCTCCTTGATTTGTAACTGAGTCCTGTTTGCAAATATCTGTTCCCATTGTGTGGCTTGCCTTTTTCCTTGCTGCCAGGGCTGCAACCTTTTCTGGACCTTGACATCACCCAGACCCAGGTAATAGAATGGGGACTTTTGTGAAGTGACTCAAGGCCGAGGAGGTCACAGACACTCTTAGCATAATAAGGTCCCGGGGAAAGAACAGCTGGAGGTCAACCTTTGCTGTGTGAAAGGTCTGGTTGTCCTTTTATAAGTGCCACTGTTGGACTAGACCCCCTCCCAGGGCGGGGTGGGGGGAGGCACTTCCCCTAGGACCTGAGCGCCCCTCCGCCTCCCCTCCATTCCCCACCAGGGCAGTGGCAGAGCTGGACAAAAGCTGAGAAGGACCTGACAGCCCCTGCTGAAGGCTGGATGCAAGCGGAGGCAGAACTTCGGTCGGAGGAAGGAATTAGAAAGAACCAAGGTATGGAGCTGGAGGGGGGGGGGCAGGGCAATGGAAGTGTGAAGGGGGCAGAGGGTCCTGGAAAGTGCTTCCCGCTGTCACGGATTGCAACCTCACCCCATGACACTCTATGTGCCAGAACCACTTCGGCCACCAGTGTCTCTGGCCTGCATCATTGCACATCCCTCGTACTGGCCTCCCAGCTTCCATTCTTGCCACCCCATCCCTAACTACCCACTTTGTGCCAGCAGCCAGAGTCTCGAGATCATTTAAAATGAACAAAAGAACACATTTCTCTTGTGCTTAAAACCTCCAGGGGCTGCTTTTTGTGCTTAGAAGGCATTGCCCGTAATTTCTAGGGTCAACCAGGCAAGAAGTGGTCTGGCTTGGACTGTGTCTTTTACTGCCCTCGGCCCCAGCTGCACTGGCCTCCTGTGGCTCAGACAACCACCTGTTCAGCCTCAGGGCCTTTGCATGTGCTGTTCCTGCCATCTAGAAGGATAGGCCCCAAACGTTTGCATATTGGCTTCTGGTTGTTCGGGCCCTTCCTCAGTGTCACCTCCCCCCTGGGGCTCTTCCCAGAACTCTCACATCTGACCCTGCCCCAAATCACTGTCCCCTCACTCTTAGATTTCCTTCCGTTATACTCACTCTGAAATGATTTACTTTTCTAATTAGAGGACTTGTCTGTCGGGTTCCTCGATATGTCCCCAGTGTGTACCCAGCACACAGTCCGTGCTTGATAAGGATTCTTTCCTGAAGGCTGCTGGAGTCTGGACTGTTGGGAGGTCCTCTGGGATCCTGCGAAGGCCCCACTGGCTGAGGGAATGTGCGTTCTGGGGAGGACACTAAGAGGCTACTTGTTAGGGTTACTTATTACCTGGGTAAATAAACAACCATTACAAAAAGTAGCATTGATTACTAAAGAAAACCACCGAGCCGGATGAACCATCAGTGTCCTCCACCCTAGCCAGTGTCCGACATATCCGAGGTCTGAGGAGCCCGCACAGGGCCGGGCCCTTGAGACGGGGGTTGGCTTCCGATGGGAGCAGGTGGGGGGAGGCGAGAGTGCATCTTCCAGTTCCAGCCAGAGGTACCCTCCTGGGCTGCCTGGGAGGGAGGAGGGGGTGCTAGGCTTACGTGAGTGCCCCCCACCCCGCCCTGGATGACTGCCAGCTCAGAGTCAGGGAGCCTAGGGGCCCC